ATTTAGATTCTAGATATCTTTTATTCAACCGCGCTGTATGTTTGGGATCATTATCCTGTTGAAAGATATAGTCACCATTAGGAAAAAGTTCTTTTATACTTGGTCCAAGCTGGTTAACTAAGATTTTGTGATACAAATGCTGGTCCATAATGCCTATCACCCGGTAAAGTTTTCCAACTTTGTGTGCACTAAAACAACCCCAGACATTAATCTTTTTGTCATGTTTAATAGTTGCCTTGCAGGTTTGAGGATTGAATTTTTCCCCAATTAATTTCCAACAGTGAGATCGACCATTATAATACAAAACAAATGGAGACTCATCGCTCCAGATAACGTTAGCCCATTGTTCACATCTCCAATCTTTGTGCTCAATGCACCATTTTACACGCTTTTTTCAATGGATTTCACTAACAAAAGGTTTTTTAATTTGCTTTCCAGAAAAAAAATCACTTGATGCTTTAATCCTGCGAGATTTTGTCCACTTTAAGATATTAGTAAGGTTCAAATCTAGTTTTATCTCAGAACGAGTGGTTTTACGATTTTTTTTGACAGCATTAAGAATGTAGCGATCTTCCTGTTTTGGAGTTTTCGGTTTTATCCCAGATCCAACAGCCCTTTCAGTTTTACCAGTGTGTTTGTATTTCTTTACCAATCTACTAATAGTTGAGTTTTCTCGTTTAAAACGCTTTTCAATGCTTCTGTGAGATCTCCTTGGTCAGCAGCATCAATAATTCGTCCAATTTCTGCATCTGTAAGATGTTTTCTAAAATATTAAATGTGTCCTTAATAATCTATTTTTTAAAGATTTTATTTATATAAATATTAGTTTATATATAAACATACCTTTTCTGCTCTATATTTTTTACTGCCACATCCAATTTTTTTTGTTTTGCATTATTATACATTTTATGCTTAAAATATAAAAAAAAAATTAGTGTGGCTTTTTTTTGCACCCCACTGTATATATATATATATATATATATATATATATATATATATATATATATATATATATATATATATATATATATATATATATCTATCTATATATATATATATATATATATATATATATATATATATATATATATATATATATATATATATATATATATATATATATATATATATACCATTATAATACAAAACAAATGGAGACTTAAAAATTTGAACTACCACAATCTAGAACGTGAGAAAAGTCGGATTTATATATATATATATATATATATATATATATATATATATATATATATATATATATATATATATATATATATATATAAATCCGACTTTTCTCACGTTCTAGATTGTGGTAGTTCAAATTTTGATTTAACATGATTGAACAATTCTATGTAATTAAGAACAAGACTTTTAAGTTTTGATTTTAAAGAAAATATATTGTGATAAAGAGTAATTAAATTGCATTTCGGAATTAATTCGTTATATAAATAAGGGCCGCAATAAGAGATAAAGAATTGAAAGTTTTTTGTTTTTTTTCGGGGTAAGATAAAGGTGCCAGTTGCTCCTTTGAGAGAAGTTTTCTATAAATCGTGAAGAAACTAATTCCATTTTGTATTTTAGCATAAATAATATATTAGCATAGATATTAAGTTGATAAATGTTTAGCGCTTTCATTTCTTTTAATAGAGGTTTAGCTTATGTAAGTTTGTTTTTATGATATATTATCCTAGAAGCATGTTTCTGCCGTCGATAAAGAGACATTAATTCTGTCTTGTGTGTGCTTCCCCAAGCAATGTTAGCGAATGTAAGATGACTATGTTTAAACGAAAAGTAAATTTTATAAAAAGTAATTTAAATCAAGTATTTAAAAACAGAAACGAATCTAAATGTTTATAAAGAATATAAAAACCTGATTGAACAAATAAAAACAAATCTGAAAAAAGATATTATTCTGAACAATTACAAAAAAATAATGCGAGCATTAAGAAAACGTGGAAAGTTATGAAAGATATTATTGGCAAAAGTAAATTTATTTTTGACATATTACCCTCCAGAAAACTGAAAAACAATATTGAGTACAAAGATGAAGAAGAGTAATGGTCTGATCTATCTACTAATCTAAATCTTGCATTAAAAAAAAAAAAAAATGGCTTTGAAAAATAATTTCAAAATTATTTTAGCGACTTTAAGTGTTCATTGCCAGATAGTGATCTAATATTAGATAAGCTAGAAACAACAATCAAATCAATTAAAAAGACTAAGGCCCAGGTATTGAGGTACATTTCCAGAATTGTTTTATTTTTTATCTGAAATAAAAAAGTTTTAAATTTATTTAACTCTTTAATTAAAAACAGGATAAATTAATTAAATTAATTATTTTAATTATTCCCATATAAATTTAAAAATTAAATCGTACCTATATTTAAAGGTGGAGATATGTCTGCTATACGCAATTATAAATCTCAAGTCTTCATATATTTTCTAAACTCCTTGAAAATTTAATTTTAAACAGACAATATAAATATTTAATAAAACACAGAATCTTAAATGAAAATCAATACGGATTTCAAACGCAACATTCAACGGAATATTCTATCCTAGATCTCATTAAAAGCATTAGCACTTCCTTCAATGATAAATCATTTGCATTTGGAGTCTTTATTGATCTGAAAAAAGTGTTTGACACAGTAGACCATAAAATACTACTAAAAAAAAAGAAAAGGATAGATATCAAACTATAAAAATGTTTGCTAGCCATCTAGATAACAGACAACAATGTGTTTCGATAGATCACTTTGAAAACACAAAACAACTGCAAACCAAATGTGGGGTACCTTAAGGATCTATTCTAGCTCCTTATCTATTTTTAATTTATGTCTACAACCTTCCTTAAGTCTTATCAATGTTAGATAGCATAATTTTTGCAGACGACACCAATCTGTTTTATTGTTCTAGCTCAATCTTTTAGTAACCACAAACTTGGAACTTATAACTTAAAGCTAACAAATTGTCACTAAAATCAAACAAAACCATATATCTTATTTCACTCCAACTAAATAAAAGAGGTTTGCCGTCAAAGTTTTGTGTACTTCTTGACAAGAGTTTATCATGGAACTCTCACATAAATGCCATTAAAACAAAAATCTCAAAAACATTGATCTACTCTATAAGACAAAACCTTATATATCATTCAAAAATTAAAAACTTTTTTATTTTTTCTTTATACACATATCTATCATACGCCAATATAGTATGGACAAATCCAGTGAAAAATAATCTTTTTCCACACGGGTTTTATGTGGGTTTTGTGAGGAATTCATGGGAACCCTCATGAAGAATCATGGGAATCCTCATGAAACCCTCATGGGAATCCTCATGAAAAATAAAACAAAACCATTTTTAAACGCGAAAGCTCTAACGAAAATTTATTTTTCATTTATTCACAGCTATCTTTCTTACTGCAACATTGCATGGGGAAGTACGAATTACGGAAAACTCAAAAAACTTTATAGTAAACAAAAGCATGCTTGTAGGATTGTATTTGGGGCAAACAGAACTGTTTATTGCGAGCCACTATTAAATCGTCTCAAGGCCTTAAATATTTATAAACTAAACATTTACCAAACATTACTTTTCATGTTTAAAATGAAACATGGAATATCTCCACTTATATTTCAATCTTATTTTAGCGAAATATCTCATAAGTATCCAACAAAGTTTTCAGAGGATAACTTTATTGTTCCGAGAATAAATTTAAAAATAAGTTCTTATCAAATTAAATATCGAGGACCTTTTTTATGGAAAAATTTTATTAAAAACTTTAATAAAGAACACTACTCTTTAGAAAAATTTAAAGCAGTTTCTAAAAGAATCTTACTTCAATTAGATTTTAATTCAATAGACTTTAAGTATTTTTTTTAAAAAGGAAATTTTAAAATAGAAACAAACGCTCCCATTATCATTAAGTATATTTTGTTATATGTATCAAATATATTTGTATTAGTAAACAAAACTTTCTTTACTTTTAAATTTTAATATAAATGTCATTTTATTATTTGACAAAAGTTATGTACTCTTTAACGTTTTTTTGTATATTCTATTTATATTTGTTTATAAACACGGGCAATTTGTAAACGGGGCTCGGCGATAAGACAGTCATTGTCTTCTTCTTGCTCCGGCCAATTTTTATAAATGTAATATGTCTATATTGTAAATATATGAAACGGCAAAAAAAAAAAAAAAAAAAAAAAAAAAAAAAAAAAAATCCATGTGGAACAAGCATTTTAATTTTTAATAAAAATGCTTGTACCATAATTGAATACAACATACAATATATTTGAGTTGTTTACATTATGTATATATGTATGTTAATTATTTTAAGTTACTTTTTGTTTGTAATTATTTAATTGTTTTTTAAACAACTGCAATTTTTGATACGAGTTTAGAGCAACTAGATGCAAGTTAACACTAAAGAGCGTGCAACATGAAATTCACTAAAACGGTTAAAAATAACAGCGAAACGTTTTTTTTGATATTTCGGTATTTAATTTTACTGTAATACTTTTGTAGCATAAATAAAAATATAAATTTGTTGTATGAAATTAAAAGTTTTTGTTATTAACTTAATTTTTTTTTATTAATAATTTTTATTATTTCATTTTTTATCACTAACATTATTTTGTTTTTCTTATTAGTTTAATTTTTATTAGATATGTATGCAGTATTTCTTAATTGTTGTATACATTTCAAATTTATTTGAAAAAGTTTTTCCTTGTTACCAGGCTTATTTTGTCGAAGACACCCTCCAAAAAATTCAAAAATTATATGTTTAGTGTAAAATCTAAATGCGGACGACACGAGACATACTCAGCAGATTTCCTATTGAGATAGTAAACCATTTGATGCATGTTATTTTACAAAATGAACGCTGAATTTGAAAAAAATTTATATATAAGCAGATGCATCATTTTGTGTTATAATTTAGAAATCAATTTATTAAAACCATTATTAGAGGCAAATACTATTTTCAAAATGTTTTTTTTTTTTTAGAAAAAAAAAAAAAAAATTAAATTGAATTTTTGGTGTAGCAATGAATTTAGAAGCACTTTATACTTTTATTATAGCTGCATACAATGAGTAAATCGGGATGTTGTGAAATGCTGTTATTTTTTTTCCTGTTAATATTGAACTTTTCTTTTGTTAAATCCTCTGCATTAAGCCAATCTCTTAATCAAATAGACAAAACAGTGGAACCGAAGCATAAAATCAAACGTTCGCAGAATATTAACTCGGAAGAAATTTTAAATTATGCTAATTTCAACTTTTCAAACCAAAATCCTAGATCCAAGGATCAATTTACAAGAGTTTTTGCACAAGCGGGAAAAATATTTATGTACCGATTTGAATTTGTTCATTGTGTTAAGGTAATTAACATAATAATTTAATTTTTTTATAATAATTTTAGGTATTTAATAGATTTCTAATTAAAACTATTTCTAATTAAAATTATTTTAAAAGAAATCTATTTCTTTTAAAATAGTGTTTATTAGGAATAGTTTTAATTAGAAATCTATTAAATATATTTTTAATGCAATTTAAATTAATATCAAAACTTAATAGTTTTATTATTATTTAAAATATATAAATATTATCAATATAGAAAAGAAATTCGTCATCTTTAGAAGATTGGGTACAGTTTCATAAAGAGTTGACCATGTTAATTGGATTACCGCATTCGGAACTCTTAGGAAGTTTTGGCTTGTCGTATAACTGTCGTGCATCAAACATAAGAACGAACTTTCATTCAAAAGTTAATGAAGTCATGAAAACTATTAATATTGAAATAAATCTGAAGTCATCTTTTATGAAACCTAACGTTGCTATTGAAGTATTTACGCCAGAAGATAGGCCGTCTCTAACTTTGCTTAAAAAAATTGAGATTATTCAAATCATCGAGACAAACGTAAAAAGTTATAAAGTTGTTAATAGCATTGCTAATTATTTTCGAGCCATCTTGAATTGGGGAAAAAAATCAAACTCAAAATTGGCTGTCGTAATTAATATTAATCCGTGTAGTTTACATCGGCTGACCCGTATTTTAACATCATATGACAGCGCTAATATAATTGGAGTAGTTATATATGCTCCTGTTAATGAAAGTTCAATGAACTTTAAAAATAATTGTCAACAATTTAAAAACTTGGCTCAGACAATCATAAGCAGCTCATTGATATATAAACGTAAACGAGTTGTCAAAAGAGAAATTCCTTTTCTCGATATTCCTGATATATTTAGAACCAATTTACCAAAACTTGATTGTTCAAACAATACACCACCAGTCGCAAAAGAAAAAAGTGTGACGTTTACTTTCCAATCAAATGAATTTAGTCACATTGAGATTAACGAAGCTTTATTTACAGACAGAGAAGATGGAAATCTGAAAATGTTAAAACTAAAATTGACTTGGGGAAATGGTGTACAAATTAAGCCTGATGATTGGGTTCAGTTTAGCTCAGTCCTAAAACTTATATACGCTTTTTCTACCTATGATGTTTTTGAAAAACAACCTAAAGGTGGTTATGCACTTTTGGCTACGGCAACTGACCAGTGTGACTCCTCTGTTGCAACTACTGTTTACGTTAAAATAGAATCTCCATTCTTAAATTCCAGTAAAGTAACCTGTGATTATATTGTACTTTTAGTTGAATTTATTGCGGACAAGAATATGCCTTATATAAACATCCTTGCGGAACTTATTGACAAAGTTGCAACTTTTAATAATATTACATCCTCCAACTTAATTGTGCTAAAGGTCTTTCGATCATTTCACAGAGACAAATCCGTTTATTCTGTCTTATTTACTCTAAAAGCATGTAACAGTTGCATAAAAGAGATTTTTCTTTTATCGAAGAATTTGAATCAAGGTAATAAATTCAAACAGTTTCTTTCGCCAAAATTTAATTATAACACGGTGTTGCTTTCAAAATGTGGAGAAAATAGTTCACCCCAAACTGTTTATCAAATAGATAGTTTTGTCTTATCAGAAAATCGTACGACAATTCATGAAATATCAAAAGCTACATTTTTTGATACAGAAGATGGATTTCTAGATAACTTAACCCTCCAAATACATAACGTCTCAATTATTGGGGTTCTTGTTATCTTGCATAAACAAAGTGTTGTTTTTTATCAGTACAAAGAAAAAATTAACATTGGGTCAATTAATATTACAGTAATAGATTCTTCTAAAAAAATATCATCTTTAACAGTTAAAGTCATACCTAGCAATAACCTGAATTTAGTTAACAAGTGGTTCATTTTTACCATGGACGCTTACTATGATGAGTTCTACAGCAATGACTTCATTATTACAAAATTATTACATATGTTTTCAAAGTTTTTTGGAGGAGGGGATTCAATATATGACCTTGTATTATTGGGTTTTGACCGAAAAGGTATTTTTCCACTGTCTATTGAAATGAAGCTATCTCTTGTCTCAATTAATCATAAAAACACAATTGAAATTGAAAAAATGAAAAGTGAAATTGTGCAAAAGGACGGTAAAGCCACAATTGGTTTTGCTACGTTTTTCCTACCACATGTGAGAAACATTCACTGTGCTTATCACAATTTTGAATTGTCAAATCAAAAAAATGAACTAAACATTATTAATAACATACCTCCTCTCATCATCAATGCTTCTCATGTTTTTCACTATTCAATTCCAGTTGACACATTTTATGACAAGATCGACGGTAATACAAAAAATTTAATCTTAAGAATGACTAGTTTAGACGGCCAAGCGCTGCAAAAAAACTCATGGATGCAGTTTGACTCTAAGCTCCAAAAGATTTCTGTTGTTTTAACTCTAGATATGATGCAAGAAGAAAAAATGAAATCTTTTAAGTTTGTGCTGATTGCAATAAACTCTAGAAATCATACCGCAAACTTAACAATAAATTTGATCGCAACTCGAAGAAATAACCCTTTAGGAGGTACTCTTGTTCAACTTGCTATCAAAGATGATATAAACAGTTTGGTTGATGATATGCAAATTTTATTACCTCTTTTGATTAAGTTTGACGACATAATGAAAACATCAATAGAAAAAGAACTAAAGAGTTTTTCGAGAGAAAATGGTTTATCTACGATTGTTTTAGTTTATAACTTTACTTCAAATGATGGTTTGTGTGACTTCGAGGAGATGAACTGTTTGAAGAATAAGAGTTTTGTGCTTAGTTTTAATAACGATAAAAAATTTTTTGAATTAATTCCAGATGTTTACTTAATGAAATTAAAAATAAGTACGTTTGGTATTTGCGAGAAAAACGTTTCCAATTTAGATTTTAGTGAAAAAATTCAAAACAAATATTCTCAATCTCTCACTGGAAATGATTTGACCGAAATTAATTCAACTCTATCTCCTGTTGTTGATAATAAAAACTTGTTTAAAGGACCTGAAATTCGACTACCACTGCCAAGAATATTTGTTAGCTTTTGCAAATCTGTTGTCTACTATTTGAATCCAGATACATTCTTTGATGAAAAAGATGGCAATGCTAAAACACTAAATATTGAATTAATGCACAAAATAGAAGGAAAGGTAAGTCATTTTTTTTATCAAAGTCATATTCATCTTTATTAACTCCTCTATTTTTAACCATTTTTAAGTAAATGTTATGCTTCCAAATAACATAAAAAGTTAAAGATTAAAAAAAAAAAAAATCAAAAGATTTTAAATAAAAGTTTAGTTAAAAAGCTGTCGCGTGTATAAAGTGTCGCGTATATAAAGTGTCGCGTGTATAAAGTGTCGCGTGTATAAAGCAAAGAAACCTGATAGGATTTAATTAGTAAATATTTCATCTTAAAAACAATCTTTCTTTCCACTTCTACTAAAGTTTCAACTTTTACAATTACTTCTATTTCTACGCCTGGTCTTAACCTATATTTAGAGGACAGTTTTGTGGATTTTGATCCAAGTAATTTATTATTTTACCAACATAATTTTTAAACCTTAAATCCCTAAGCCCCAACCCCCCTACCCTTATTTCTCCCCAATGTATCTATTACTTAATATAAATTTATTATTTGATATAACCTATCTTTCTTTTAAATTTGTAAACATAGATATATAGGTTATTAGTTATTAAATATTAAATAAATAACAATTTTTTTAAACTTTTTAAACAACATGTTTCATTAATAACAATTGACTTCATCAGGTATAAAAAATTAGTTTCAATTTCTGTATATAAACAGTTTTTTTAACTATGTTGAAATTTTATTAGTTTTTTTACAATAGTTACCATAGTTACATTTTTGTAAAATAAGTAAATTGCACGAAATTTTAAAAAGGATTATGAATCGGTGAATGTTAAAAGGGCGGAAATCCAATAATGTAAGCTAAAAAAAACTGCATTTCACCCAGAAGTAAATTTTTGTTAATGGTTCAATAATTTTTTTCAATGGTGAAAAACATTATCTTTTTCACAAAAAATACTATTAAACCATTAACAAAAATTACTACGGGGAAAATGCTGGTTTTTTTAGTTTCCCGAAAGTTTACATAGTTGGACTTTTTTTTTTCACCGATTTATATAAAAAGTGTAAAGTGAAAAAAAAAAAAAAAAAAAAAAAAGAAATAGAATAAACGTAAGATAATCGAGAAAATATATTGTTATAGTAAGTAAGTAATAGTATAGTAGTTTGATTTTTATTGGACATTAAATGAAGGTTTTTTTATTTCAATAAGGATACCCTCCTCATATTTAAAGGAAGCTCTGTCAATAATGGAGAAGAAATCAAAGTTAGTTGAATCTTTACATTCTTGTGATCAACCTGTTTGTAAATATGGGATGCCTTATTGGAATTTGAATGTTTTGAAACCCTTATTGTGTAGTGTCAAGTGGTTGTCTATTGATAAAACATGTTGTTTAAAAGTTTAAAAAAGATTGTTATTTATTTGAAAATTATTATCTACTAAATTACTGTACTGCAGTACTAAATTAATGCTACTTAGAAAATAGTAACATTTAAAAAGTTGAGAACAATTTTTTGCCAGGTTGCATCTTATGAAACTGAAGTGACAACAGAAGTGCTGTTGCCAGTGATTCCAAACACAGCCCCAACTGTTAACATACTTTCACCAGCAGTTTGGTAATAACTTTTAAGAAGTTTATCATTAATACTGTTTTAAGACTTAATAGTAATTTGACTAAGTTCATTCTCATAAAAAAGTAGTTATTCTTTGCATGATCAATTAATTGTTCTTATCTCCAGATTGTATATTTACATTTGCCATTGCCATACTCAGCCATTAAAAAATGACAACAACAAAGTACAAACAAAGAAAAACTCAACAAGTTTGGCACACGACCTAAAAATGTTTCATATGCTTACTGAATAAAATAAAAAAATTATAGCCATTAATTACGTCATTTTAACTAGTTAATAAACTTCGTGTTTATTGGTTGATTGCAATCATAACTTACTTCATGTAAGATATGGCTTCTTCTTGTTGAATTTAAGAATGCAGAACTGGTCAGCTTCACTGATCAGTTTTCTGTGGTGATTTTTTGGAGGCAAACACAATATACACCAAATACTGGAAAATACATTTTTTCCCCTTATATTTCTAAAATTTTTGTATATGTGCTTTTGGCTTATTTACTAAGCTCCCCGATGTTGCGCTCTTTCAAAAGTTTATTTTAAAAAACAATAGCTTTATTTATAAAAAAAGGAAGACAAGACAAGATGACAAACGTTTTGAAAATTCTTAGTTTTCAATTTTAATAAAAAACTTTTTAATAAAATTTACACAATTTTAATAAAAAAACTTTTGTCAATAAGTTTAAGAGTAATAGTTCATTACATAAGTTTTCAGTTTGCAGAAAATTTTTAATAAAAATTAATTTTTGTTACGAAATCAAAAATTTCTATGTTTAATTTATTATATTTACAAAAATATTTGTTTTTAATTGTATAATTTAATAAAAGCACACACACACACACACACACACACACTCACACACATATATATATCTGTGTGTGTGCGCGCGCGCGTGTGTGTGTGTGTGTGTGTAACAAAAATACTTTAATAACACACATTATTTTTGTTTTTTAAGTATTTTGTTCAGTTTGAAATGGTTTGGTTTATATAGGTTCTACAGTTTGAAACGGTTTGATTTATAGGTTTGGAAACCAAATGTGGCTATATGCAACATATTTTAAAAAAGTGTTGTGTTCAGTGATGTATTTTTAACATTATTATAAAAGCATTTGGTTTTTAACATTATTATAAAAGCATTGTCGCTTAAGGGGCAAACAGGCCAGCACCATAACCACAGGTTTTCTTAGCCATTTTAGGCACATTCTGAATTAGACATGATGTGATGAATTTTCCGATTTAATGCGATTTAGAAAATTTATTTTTTTTGACAAATATACTAGTAAATAGTGTATTTTTAATCGCCATTATGTATTTTACTAAAATTATTTTTACAAAACAATATTTACAAAAAAAACGGTTTTTTGACTTTTTTTATAATTTTTGAAATACTAATTGTTTTATTGGTTTGGTAAAGGTTTCTAACTCATCGTGGATACAGTGGGACAAAAAGCTTCAACGCATATACGGATTTTTAAAACTAAGCGATTACGATTACATGAGTACCCGGCCTGAAAATCAATACTTTTTAAAAGCAACAGACTCTGATGGTTATTCAATTGAAGCTGATATCAACTTTATTTTACCAATAAAAAGACTCAGCTTCTTTTACAAAATTTCCAGTACATTCCAAATAAAATCTGAAAACGGAATTGAAGCGAATCACCAATCAGCTCTATGGAACAAACTTACATCTTTCACGGGGGTAACAAAGATACAAATAGTCACATTTCTCAAACTTAATGAAAATCAAATACTTTTAGAATGGTTTATTTGTGAAATTGATGAAAAATATTGTCCAAATAAAAAGATTGAGGCTCTGAATTTAAAACTATTAAGCGGTAAAGATCCGTCAAGTCAGTTTTTCAACGTTATGCTACCCGAGTATGAGGTTTTAGAAACTAAATTTAGTGTAGAAGAAATTTGTGCAATAGAAGAAACAAAAACGGAAACTAAACCTACAAATTTTATCAAGCCAGCGCAATCACAATTTAGAATAACAAATTCTTCTATATTTAGCCTAAAACCCACTCAAACACTAAGTACTCTCTCAAAGAATTCTCTCAACTCACCTGCAATGATCAACCTACCTCCGATAGTTTTAAAATCAGTTCCTATATTATATGTTTTTCCTTGCAAAATTACTGAGTACAAGTTAAACGAAGATGTATTTTTTGATCCTGAAGATGGTTTAACTCGCAGCCTTAAAGTAACAACAACAAATGAATTATTTTTATATAATGCCACCACACAGACAATATCAATTAAATTTATGCCTGATTCTCCATCATTTTTTCAAATTATTGCAGCCGATAAGTACGGATTAACTGTGACTCAAAACATAACAGTGATAAAAACAGAAAAAGAATTGCTTGCTTTTAATATTTCATTTTACGGTACAACTGTTCAAAAACTTGCTAATAATAATTATTTACATGCTATGATAACGCAGAGATTACATCTTCTGTGGCAGCATTTATTTACCGGAAATATTTTAGTTCAATCAATAAGTAAACATAATTACAATTATATAACAATCGTTTGGTCGCCTTGCAACCTGGAATGTTCAAACAAATATTATCAAAATATTCGCGCATCTATTTTTCAAAAAGATAATTTGCAGAATAATATAGTTAACCTTTTTGCACCTGACCTGATTATCACGCGAGCATCGTTAGCTGTATCACAACCTTGCATAGATATATTAAACAATGATCATACCCAAAGCCCTTTATCGTTTTCTAGTTTCATTACCATTGAGGACATTAAATCTCAAAGTATGGAACAGTTAAAATCAAACTCACCACCTGAGATTAAATCTAGATTACCAATATTAATTGCTTATAAATGCAGGCTGTTCAGCTTCAGCATACCTGAGAATTTTTGCTATGATCTGGAAGATGGATTCACACCAAATTTACGTTTACAATTACTTTCACTAAAAAAAGAAAACCTTAGCTCAAAACATTGGTTGCATCTAAATGAAAAACTACTGGTCCTCTATGGCACTCTTAAGTCTGCCGACATTATTGAATCTAGGAACAAAATTTTGTCTTACTATTTATGCTGTAGAGATAAACAAAGGGCGGTTGTATTTCAACAGATAGATATAATTATTGCAGAACCAAACTTAATACCCAGTCATCTTATTACCTTTTATAGTTATTTGCATTTGAGTCAAAATGATACCGAAGTACAATCACAAATATTGGATAAAATTGCTTTGTTTCTTGGTGAAGAGGATACCAAAAATATTGAGATAAAAAACTTTTCAAGAGATTCCTCATTATCAGATCATATAACTTTAAGTTGGTATAACTGCTCTATTGATGATCCGTGTAGTCCGGAAATTAACCTTTTAAAAAATAAATTTTTTGATAAATTAAACTTAAATTCTCAATTTACTTTAGCAATGATTCCAGAGTTTGTAATGATAGGAGGTAAATTTAATGTTTCATTATTGTGTGCATCATCGCAAAACACATCTCAAAATTTATCAATTAAAAATCCTACTATTAAATATACCAACCATGCTCCGGTTGCTAGACAACCTCTTCAAGATATAATTGTGCCTCCTTGTTCCACATTCAGTTTCCGAATTCCTGAAGACACTTTTTTTGATATTGAAGATGGAAATACACGCAACTTAAAACTTAATTTACTTACTGAAGAACTATTCCCAATTCCCAAAACATCTTGGGTTCAGTTTGTGGAATCAACTCAAGTTATATACGGATTTCCAAAACTTATTGATTTCAAAGAGTTAAACAGTTCCATTGAATATTTTTTAGAAGCAACTGATAATGAAGGATATAAAGCATATACAAAGGTTGTCCTAGCAACGCCGGCTAGACCTAAAATACCATTTGTTGTTAATATAACTTTGAGCAGGTTTTTTGATCTCAATTCAAGTGATTTGATTGAGCAAATTTTTTTAGCTGGTCAAATTAGTTTTTTTATGGGTGACAAGGATGTTTCCCAGATAATAGTTGTAGACTATATGCGGAAAACGCATTCTGTTTTTATATCTTGGAGCAACTGTTCTTCAGTAAACGAAAATTGCCCACATAAAACTGAAAGCTTGTTACAAAATAAACTTTTAGAAAAAGGTTCTCCAAGTAACACATTTGTCAATAAAATAAAAACTTATTATTCTGTACAAAAGATAACCCTAGACTCTTACTCTAATTGTTTTCAACCTCCAAAATTTAATAATAGTTTCAATGCGTCATTCACGGCTATTAAAAATGAGCCGCCAAAAGTTATCCGTTATGTTCCACCTCAATATGTAAACTTATGTCAACCGTTTATTTATCGCATACCGGAGGATATATTTACAGACGAAGACGGAAGCACTTCATCTTTACAGTTAAAACTTTTAGATTTAAACTTTAAAGAAGTCCAAAACGATTCGTGCATTATATTAGGCATTAATTCAACAATATATGGAATAATTAAACTTTCAGAAATCCATAAAAAAAACAATGATTTTAGATACTTGCTTTCAGCTTCTGATTCGTCCGGATTAGAAACAAAAATGCCTTTGTCTTTCAAAACTAGAAATTATTTCAAAAAGCTGAGCTATCATCTAGTGCTGGAACTAAAGGTTAAGTTTATGCAAATAGATACCGATTTGCTATTAAACTTAATCTATAAAATTAATAACTATTTTGGTACTGCAGACAACCCCGATATTTTGCCAATATCATTTGAAAACAAAAGAAATTATCGAAACATTTATGTATTAGCCTGGACGTTTTGCAGTTTAAAATTTGAAACATGTCCTCATGATAAATTAAATGATATTAATAGAAAACTCTTTGACTCAGGCGGAAATGTCCTTGAAAACTTTCACTCTATTTTAAAACCCGATTTTTCTGTTTTGAGCTTAAAGACTGTATATTCAAACATATGTTCTGAGAATAATGCTTCTTTGTATCCGTTATCTGAGCAAGCATCTTTTTTACCTATTGGAGTTCAACCTATATTAATCTTTATAAACCAATGTAGACCAACTGTACATAATGTGTCTGAAAACTTTTTAAAGTTGAATTCAAAAAACTCACCAAGTATTATAACTTTACGATATGAAAACGGATCTAGAGTATCAAGCCAATCTTGGATACAACTGAATGAGCATAATAGTATAGTCCATGGTGACGCACGCACAAAGCTGGAAGAAATTCCAAGGATGTATATTCTTCAAGCCGAATACACCGACAAAAAAAGCCGACTACTCCCACTAAAGGTTGATATTGCACCATTAAATGTAACAGAACTTCATTTTTTTGTTTCAATTACATTTAAAGTAAATTTAAATATTACACTTAATGATGTTCTCATGATAGATCTACTCAAAACAAAGTTACAACTTTATCTTAAGGTTGATTCTATTAGTATCGTATATCTATTTCAGAATACTTCTAGATTCTATGCGAAATTCAGTTTTTGCGTAAATAACTTTAAAACTTGTAATTACACCCACGTGGAGTATATTTTATCGATGCTATTCAAAAGACAAGATTTTACTTCAACTATAAATATAAAAAGAGGCGTACATCAAAGTTTTGTCTCTGCACTACTGCCAGAATTTACAGATATTTCTGTAATTGACGAGCTTTCAGGTCCTTGCTCATTCAAACTTAATGCGTTAAAAGATCGCACAAGTTTAAACATATGTGTAAATCCGTGTGGTTCTTTTCGATTTAAAATTTCGCAAAATATTTTCTTCGATCCTTTACCAAATTACGATGCTACGTACATAACTGAAGTAGTGAAGATGCCCAGGTTAGTCACTTCTTGGTTACATTATAATGACTCGACTTTGGAGTTTTACGGAATTCCGACGGAGCATGTCAGAATGAGTGAACCAGAAACAGGGTACCAATTTTTGCTATCTGCATATGAATATAACGGAGGAATTGCCAAAAAATGGATTCAATTTAAAATTTGTAACAGTACACCAAAATATGAAAATAACATTGAAGTAAAACTTGCTTGTCCGACTCAAAATGAAAACAATTATAATGCATTTGAAAGTATTTTGGAACAACTTTCTTATATATACTTTAAAAAAAATCTATCATCACTACATTTATACAACTATACTTTTGACCAAAACATTATAAAGTTAATATTTTCGCGGTGTGGGGCCACCGAGGTTTTTGTAAAAGAAATAAACGGAACAATAATCAATAACTGCGTTGTATTTGACGTCTCGATTTTTAAGGCCCGAGACAACCCCCCAATGAATAATAGAAAAGAGTTAAGATTTAGACCAAAATTCTGTCAAACAAATATATTCGATATTCCAATAGAAACTTTTGTTGACAATGAAGACGGGAATATTAACAATCTTTATTTATTCGTCACATTTGAAAATTACACTTTAATTCCAGATCACTACTGGATAAATTTGGTAAACAACAAACTTCACGTACTAGTTATTTTAGAGGAATGCAAAAATAATATTTACCAGTTTTATTTAAATGCTAAAAATTCCAAGAACCAAATCGCTCGCATTCCGCTTGTAATAGAGATTATAGATGATTTTCCCAAATTAAACAACTTTCACTCTATTCGTTTAAAATCTAAGATAGTCCAATCAGTTGTTCCTCTTATTAATAACCTTTTTGCAACGCTTGAATTATTTTCGAACATTTCATATGCCGTCAACAAATATAGTCTTTTTGAAAATCAAAGTATTTCTCTGACCTTTTTTAAATGTTCTTTAACCACAATGGATTGTGGGTGCTCAGCTGACTGCGTTGCAAAAATTTATTTGATACCAGAGTTTTATATTGAGCAACTTGAAATGAACCAAACTCATTGCGACTTCAATAACGCTCCATTATTAATGAACGCAATTTCTAATATTACTATACCTTCAAAGGGATATTTGACATATCAAATTCCGAAAAATATGTTTTATGATAAAGAAGATGGATGGACAAGAAATTTATCATTAAGTATGGTCTCTCCAGATAATTGTTGGTTACAATTTTCTGAAAAAGATCAAACTATATACGCAATTGCTTCAGACAAAACCATAAAAAATTATTTACAGAAAAATCTTTCTCTTATTTTAACAGCAACTGATTCGTTAGGAAAAGTAGCTAGCACAACAATAGACCTTTTTTTTGAGCCAATCATTTCATATGGTTTTTTTGTTTCTATTTTGTTTCAAATTACCTTTGTGAAAAAAGTAACATTTTTAGGCTCATGTTTACAAGATAAAATTTTTATCTTTAATAAAATGTCAATATACCTGAATACAACTTTGTCTTTAAAATCAGCGTTTAAAGCAGCAGACGATATGTTCATTGAAATCATTGTTGCAAGTAGTACGATAAGATTTGCTCCTTGTGACTACCTTGCTACCGATCGGTTCTTAAAGCTCATCGAAGACAGAGAAGGATCATTTGCTGATGGATTTTTAAGTTTTATGTTACCAGATTACATTCCAAGATTTATATCAGTGCACAAAGGTCCAACATGCATGGACTTGGCTAACACCCCTCCCAAACTAAATGGTACACTTGATATTGATGTTTTATCCACGTTTTCATTTGTGGAAAAGAGGTTACCACAAGGTTTAGCTTATGACAATGAAGATGGAAACATCTTTAATTTAAATATAGCATTGTTGCATTCAAATGGAACACAAGTGAACAATGATTGGATTTATTTTGATGAAAAATCAAAAGTTCTTTTTGTCCTTGGTAGTCACCAAACCGCTGAAAGACAGCCAAAGAATGGGTACGAATTTATGCTTAGCATTCAAGATAGTAGAAAAGCAATTGTATGTTTGAAGTTTAAAATCGTTTTCAAGTTGCCAATAAGGACAGATATATTTAGCATAACGGAAATTATTGACTTAATTCCATCAGATTACGATTTTTCTATCAAATCAGACATTCCTTCAATCAAATCAGACATTCCTTCAATCAAATCAGACATTCCTTCAATTATAGCATGGAAAAAGAATAGAGAGAAGTTATTGAACTTTCATTTGGATTTTGTCTCTTACAAAAAAATTGAGCAAGTAAGTAAAAAAACTAATTTTGAAGTCGAAAATATATCAACGTATAATGTCACATGGAGAATTAATAATGAAAAAGAATCCTGCGAATTTGAATCGCTGAAGCATATTGAAAATATTTATAAAAATTATTTTAGTACTTCAAGTTACCAAGTAAACCATAATTGTTTCAATGTACCAATTTTTCAACTAAAAACAAACAAAACAATTGAAGTTTACCTTGATCCATGTCAAGAGGTTGTTTATAAACTAGAGAAAAACATGTTTTGGAATGAGATGGATAAAAATACAGAAGGATTTTACGTGAAAGCAATACTAACTTATCCAAAAAGTTCTGATATCGCTTATGATTCATTATCAAAAACCTTTTATGGGACTTTAGTTTTAGATAAATTTCTCAAGTATGGACATATAGAGTTTTACCTGGAGGCAACTGACTCTGACCAGTTAAAATCAAGCTTATTGTTAAAATTTTTTATGAAATCTCCTCCTACTAAGTATTTTGAGATTGAGTCAAAATTTTTGTACTTTTCTAATGAAAGTACCAAGTTTTTAACACTGTTTCGTAACAATATTGTAACATTCTTAAATTTTGAAAACCAAGGCGTTGTGTTCTATAACTACAATATTACGTCATCTGACAAACAGATGACCTCGTTTGTTTTAAATTTTTCTATTTGTATAACAACACCATACTGTCACATTCACAAACGGGTTATTTCATCCCTAACTTCTGACAAAGGTGAATTGAATGAGGACTTTATCAATGCTATGAATAGTAAAATTTTGCCCATTCACATAGTTAGTAGATCAAATAGCAACTGTTTTATTGACACAGAAGAAAAGCAAGATGCCACTGTTAATCTGTGTACGCCATTAAGTTATAAACTGCCAAATAATATACTAGACAATGAAAAAGTATTAAAAAGTTTAAACTGGTCTTTAAAAGCACCTTTATTTACCTGGATAAAATTTGATCCGTTTACTCAAACGCTAACAGGTAGACCTATAAAAAGAGATATACCAACATCTAAAAGTAAATTCAATATAAAATTTGATGTGACATTCAATGATGGAATAATTCGATCCAAAAACATTACTATTAGATATTCAACAGTTTTTGTTAGCTATGTCGTTAACATTCAATTAATTTCAAAAAAATCATTCGCAGACTCATACGAGCTTCGCAATAAGTTACAAGAAAAGTTTGATGCAATTAAAAATAACAATAGCATTAATGTGTATGATATATCAACACAGATTGTTGCTAGATTTCAGATATTTTGGGTATCTGTATTTAGTTGTAGCAACCATTTTAATCAATGTAATCCTGTAAAACAGCAAGAATTTTTTTCAACGTTTGTAAATTCTAAAAATAAAATTCATGACCATTTTGTCAAAGTGTTTTCTGATACATTTGGTGTATTAAACATTACTGAAGAAAACAGTTGTAGCAAAGAACTACTTAAGAAAAAACCTTTAGTTTTAACATTGAAGACTTGTCAACAACTTAACTTTACACTGCCAACGTTTTCAGATAATATTCAAGAAACTAGAGAGCATTATGAGTTACTTTTAGAGAACGGTAATGCATTACCTAGTTCTTCACCAGTGCAGTTTGACAATGTAAATTCAGCTATATATGGGTTAATTACACATGATTTTGCTCTTAATTCATCTGGGGAGCTCAGATATGTACTCAGATTGCACAAAGCCCAAAAAATATCTATTGATTTTAATGTAACTGTTTTGTTGTCCAGTAAAAAACCACGCTACAACTTTGTTGTAAGGACAGAACTACTTAGTTACCTAAGCACTGAAGTTGCTGATGTTAACATACTTTTGAAATTTATTTTAAGAGTTTCTTCATTTATTTCAGTTTATTCTAGAAGAACACCCCGTGATACAATTAGTATAAAAAGTTATACTCGTAGAGGTAATAAAATCCCTCAGAGAATTATAATTGAGTGGTTGAATTGCTCAAACATAGAAAACTGTAATGAAGATAAAGATCTTTTCAGCAAAACTTTTATAACTGATTTATTAACGAACCCACAATTTGCCCGGGAAATAAATCAAGAATATGGATTTGTACATCGTAAATCGTCTTTTTATAATCTTGATTCCTGTAAAAAAGATTTTCAATTACCGATATCAGTTTACAACTTGACTTCAGGTAATGTAACAGTTTTCTTAAACTCCAGGTCTTTTTTTGAGCGCAATCTTGAAAAACATATCTTTGATGGTAATAATTTTAGTAACAATTTATCTGTTATTATGACATTTACAAACAAAAGCTTTGTACCTTTTAATCATTGGTTGCAGTTTGATAACCAGGAAAGAAAATTATTTGGTTTCCCAGACAACACTATTTTGCCTCACGTTTCTTATTGGTACACACTTATTGTGAGCGATGATAAAGGTCTAAAATTAGTAAAATATATGGAGATCAAAATCCAAGCTCAAATGCAAGCTGGAACCCAGTTAAGTGTTGATATTACATGCGCGGATCATCGTCCACCAATTATTTTGCATATTAGAGATATAGCTTCTAAAATTGCAAAAAAGTTTAAACTTCGTTTAAAAGATATCTTATTAGATTTTTTTTATCTAACACGCAAACAACACATATATTTAGTTTTAAACTTACCAAGTACTGCTTTAAACGAAAATTTTTCAAAACTTCAATACTCTACCACTTCAACCTGCAGAATTTTAAAAATCTTTAAAGTTAACTCTCTTGCGTATTTTGCGGATAATAATATTGATTTAGCAGCTAACGGAGAATTAATTGTCCTCAATGGTATCCCTGATCTTGATATCACCTGTGGAAAACCTTTAGTTTATAAAATACCCGTTGACGCATTTTATTTCATCAGTATGAAAGCAGAGAAATTAATATTTGAGCTTGATGATAAAAATTTTTCAGACTTGATTGGCTCTTCGTTTATTAAACTTTCAAGTGACATATTTTATATATTTTATAGTTTAAAAGAATGTTTACATATTAAGTCTTCTAGAATTTTGAACATAAAAGCTTCGGACCATCGCGGAAATTTTGCTATCGACTCTTTTAAATTAACAAAAAATGGTGATTTTCTACAATGTTGCAACACGTATATCGAATTAGTGTTTCGACTCCCATATTCACCAGAAGATGATTTATTTAAAACTTACCAAATACTGCAAAATGATATTTACGAAGATTATGCAGATAATTTACGAATAGTAAATGTTTTATCATCTTTATATTCTGAAGGTTTATCAGTTTTGTTAACTAACAAATCTTTATTTACAAACAATTCGTGTAACCAAAACATCTCGTATAGACCGTTTTTGTTTCCAGTGTTTGAAACTACTAGTCCGGTTATGTTGCAAGGCAAAATACAAAATTTTTTCACCAATCTTGTTCATGCTTCGGTTATGTTTTGTAATACTATTGACAAATCTTTTTTTGAACTTTCGTCAGATGCTTTGAAAGCGTCTGATTCCGTAAAAAAAGGAAAAAATATTAGCCCGGAAGAATGGTTTTTGTATTTTCTGCCATTGTTTATTTTAGCATTTATGGTAGTTACTTCATGTATTTGTTTTTACTCTTGTCGGTGTGTGCATCGCAATTGTTTTAAAAAACCAAAAAATCTGCTTGTTGATGCAAGTTCTGAAGTTATAGAAAAAAGAGCTGGTCAAGAAAAAACGTTTAAATCGTCATTTACGGAAATACCATTGAAACCTGTATCAACGTCGGGAGCGAGCAAGATTCGCGAATTTCAAAAACTGCCTCAAAACAAAAATATCTCTATTTGCGAAAAGCCAAATGAGACAAAATGTTTTAATAAGACAAAGGATAAACATGAAAAACAATTAAATTCTAAAAAATCTAACTTTGAAAATAAGAAATCAAATTTATTAGTTTCATTAAGTTCACCTTCTAAAAATAGTTGTAACAACTCATTAAAATCTAATGTAATTACAAAAGAAAGTTATGACAATAAAGAAATACTTCGGTTACCTGCTATCCCAAACGGACCTCCCCCTCCTTATTCACCTCCCCGAAGACAACGTGTGTTTTCTCAAAATATAATACCAACATACTACGAAAAGTATGCTCAAAAAAAAATTACGGAAGAAACACTCCCGGCAACACAAAAGGCTGTGAAAAGTTCAAGCAGTTCATCGGCACCTTCAAAAAATTCTAAAAAGTATTTATTGATTAAGAAATCAAAAAAAAGAAAACTTAATCTACAAAAATTTAATAAACAAAACAACCATGTTCCTAATACAAGTTTTTCAAGTTCAGCGCTGTCAAAATCAGAGCTTTCAGATAACTCTTGCGAACAAACACCCAGTAAAAAATATTGCAGAAAAAGTATTGAAACTCCAGATATGTTGCAATCTATAGAATTAAGAAAAAAACCAAAAAAGTTCAAAGAAACAAACAAAAAAAACCTTACCAGGACGCAAATAATGCGCTATATTGATGACGTTAATGCCGCTAAAGTTCCAAATGAAAAAAAATCAAAAAGTATAAGATCTTTATACAGCCGTTATCCAATCCGTCACAAATTTGCAAAACCATTTTTATATGATTACTTACCTGTGAGAAGAAAACAGAGCGAGGAAAAGTATCAATTTTATGACCCTGGTAATCTTTACAGTGGTCTTAGTAGTAATTCAAGTAGTAACAGAGACTCGGTACTCGGTACTCGATACTCGAACGGTACAAAAACAAGAAGTAGGTACTTAGATACTCTTGCTAATCTTGATGAATTGGCAAACGGCAAAACTAACCATAAAAATGTAATTCTTCAAAACAAGAGTAACAAGAATATAATAGAAAAAGACTTATTATCAAAGAGAGGCGTTTTCAGTAACCGTAATGTTAGTTTGAATGACTTACTGGAAGATTCACACTTTTAGATTTCAACGTAAAAATATCTTAAACCGTCAAAACTTACAGCCAAATCTCTTTAATTTGTCTTTAAAGTTTATGAGCCGTGTAACAAGTATTTTTGAATATAAGATTTTTATTTTTAGAATATTAAACGTTTCGAGTTCATCGAGAGTAGAGCGTATTAAAGATATAATTTATTAAGCAGACTTTTTTATTTAATGAAAACTTTTAGCTTGTTAAATGTAACGAGTATATCGAGTGTAGGGTGTGTTAAAAATATAACTAATTAACCATCTTTTTTTCTTTTTTTCCTCTTTTGTTCCAACAACAAGTAAGACTAAAGAAGTTATTTTAAGAACACGAAATTGTAATTAAAAGATCTTGCATAAAAATGTTGCAAGCTTGCCAAAATTAATTTTTTTGTTGACAAACTTTTGAGCCAGAGAACAAACTATTTCAAAAAAATTTATTATACAAGTGTTTCAGTTATAACTTTATAATATAAATACTAGCTGTATTTATAAGTTATAAAGTTATAACTGAAACACTTTATTCTTATACTTATTCTTTACTTTAATACTTTATAGTAAGCGATAGAAAAATAATTATATATAGAAAGACAAAAACTGTACATATAGTCTACCTTTTAAAGTTATGAAAAAAAATATTTATAATATAATTAACTTTAAAAAATTTTAAACGCTTCGACAGCCTATACAGTCGTTTTGTTTCAATAGTATTTGGTAAATGGTAGAAAATGAAAATCTTTAAAATCTTTAATTTGAGTTCACAATTAATATACAATAATTTCTTACTGTAAAATTGTAAACTTTTGTAAAAAAAAAACGAGGGTCGAGGCGATTAACCTTTTCCATTGATCTCAAAATATTATTTTGAGATAAGTGACTTTTTCTTTATTAAGATTTAATTAAGTTTTTATTTTCTGACCATTAGCAATTTTATAATTATATATATTTATATATTTATATATATATATATATATATATATATATATATATATATATATATATATATATATATATATATATATTTATATATATGCGGTAGTGGTGTAGTGGTAGAGCGCTCGCTTCATAAACGAGTGGTTCCGAGTTCGATCCCCACCACGTCCCTGCTAGTACCGCGCTCAACTCGTTTCTCCGCGCAGCGGCCTTGTTCGTCAAGGTTCGTGTTTCGGAGTTATAGAGTTGAGAGAGGGTTATAGCCACAAATAAGTAGCCTCCTCGTCTGTAGTGGCCTTTTCGGCCTTGAGGAGGTGAATTAAAATAATATATATATATATATATATATATATATATATATATATATATATAAATATATATATATATATATATATATGTATATATATATATATATATATATATATATATATATATATATATATATATATATATATATATATATATATATATATATATATACACACATAGGTTCATTCGATACTAATTTATTATTATTTTTTTTTTTACTAGCATTTTTAGCTTTAATTATATATAAAAAAATATGAGTATTTGTGATTAAAGCGGTCTAAAACATTGTCACATAAAAAATATGAATTCTTTTGAATAATCATTACTAATAATTATTAATACAATTTTAAAATTAATATTAAAATTGTATTGGGACAACTTCCTGCAGAATAAAAAATGTTAAGCCAAAAAAACTTTAATTACTTAATACCCATAAATCGAAAATTTATTTTAGATAACTTGTAAAAAATTAATTATAATCTGTATTTCACTTTTAAATATTAAATTTTTAATAAAAGAATAAAAAAAGAATAAAAATTTGTGTCTCATTATCAAATAGAAAGTAAAATGGCAAGTTGATATAACGTTGAATAAGTGTTATTATATCAACCTTAGTTTATCAACTATAAATCGTGGAATAAACACTGAAAACATCAAACATTATACATTGAAAACATCAACAAACATTGAAAACACTAACTATAAATTGTGGAATAAACATTCCAACGTTAAAATTTCTACCTCACTAAGACGTCGAAACGACGTCGTTTTGCTTAAAATTTCTTTATCAAAGATTAAGCAAGATTAGTTTTATTTCAATAACGAAGTTATATTTTTTACTAAAATTTTGATGAAAAAAGTAAATAATTATAAATAGGTAAAACAATATTATCAATTGAGTATCCTCTAGATACAAGTCTGGAGGTACAGCTGGAGTTAATGGAGAACTCCAAACTCTTACAGATATTTTAAGAGTTATAATGTTGAGGATAATGTGTAGGAGACACGTATATGAACTACATGTATCTCATTATACGGCTGCTCTTACTTGTGAAAAAATTAAAGGTCTAAGAAGGGGTCTTTATGTAAAGCTAAAGAAGAAGCGGTAAGGCCTGAAATCTGCGAAAAAGTTATTAAAGAGAAAAATTTATGCAAATTGGACTGGAAAAGATATGATCTAAAGATTGGCTTCGTTTTTTGCACTGTTGCAGAGGAAGCTAAGAAATTTTTTGACAAACGCAACGACTGATATGATATTTTCTTGGTATATTTATTGAATAGTCAGTAAACTAGCCTCCGTTCTTCTTTAGAGCAGAAACACAAGATTTTAAGTTTCACCAACTTGGCATCTCCCATAAGGCAAGGTTTTAGCAGATGCTATATACATACGCAATCTTTACATGACCTATTAAGATACAACTCTCGGAATTAGGAAAAAATGAGGTCGGCAATAATTTGCCGACCTCAATCTTTTTTAGGTTCTTATCAGGTCGGCAAAAATTATTTGATACAAAGGTCTGACCATAAAACATAGAAACGAGGTCGGCAATTTTTTACCGACTACAAACACTTTCAGATCGGCAGTTAGGTTGGCATTGCCGAATGCCGACCCTAATTCCGATGGTTGAAGATATCAGTAATATCTTGATAGAAAACATGTGCTGCAGTTGAAAAACGCAGGTTTGTTGATTGCAATTTGTTACGTTTTGTGGTTCTAATGTTTGTCAAGGCTCCAGGCTTCTTACAATGACTTGAAAGCTATCCAGACTGTTTATGCTTTAAGAAAAGTTAATAAAAAGATAAGAAATGGTTTGCTTCTGAGCGTGAAACGTCAAAACTGGTACTTAACTCACCAATTCTGTGTTTTTGGGATAAGAAGTTGCAACTGAAAGAAAACTACATATACTGCAAGGTTTGATTGAGTTTGAAGAGCCAGAGGAACTTCAGCGTTGTAAACCATGAAATGTACAAGTTGAAGAGAGCACAGAACTAATCTCAAGGGCAAGTATAAAAGAATGACTTAATAATAGTTTCAACACTTCAGATGTTTTTAACCATCCTCAATTGCAATATTTTATTGTATGGATCAAAAACATATCTGTTGTTATGATGATGCTGAAAGGAACATTAAGCTCATTCAAGATTTTATTGTAGCCACTAGAAAAGAAAATCTTCTTTACGATATTCTTTTTATAGTTAAAAACTCTAGAAAATATTTTTGACTAATTTATGTCCAAAAGAGTTTGAAAACTGTTAAAAAGTAATTTTTTTTTCCGAGCATTTTTGAAAGTTGTTTGCTTTTTAGTCAGTTGATAGTACATTCAGCTTCATAAGTTTTCGATTCGGTTTAAATCCCAAATGAGTCAAATAATGCTTTCCTTAAAATAATAGGTAACTGCATGAGTTGTATGACATGAACATTGTCTTGTTAAAAGAACTAGTTTTGCTTTGCCTCAATTAAATTGCGACTTGGAATAAGCTTAGTTTCAAAAAATTTCTAAAAACACAAAAAAAATAGGTTTTAATAAGATCTAAAAATTAAGATACACATAAATGGGTGGAAAAGTTGCAGTCGAAGTAACAAAGTGCCAAATAAAAAGTATGAAGGATTGTTCCATGATAGGTTTCCAAAAATAGGCAGGAAGGATGGCTAAATCAGTAATAAAGACAAATTATATTATGTTATCTGTTTTGGTTGAATTGAAATGTGTTTGTGCTTTCTTAGTGTATTTAGAGTATAGATATATTAGATGTTACATATTTTTATTAGAACAATAACATGAAAAGATCTACCCAGTTACGGTATACAAAATCAAAGAAAAGCTGCACTAAAAACTTTCTATGTTGTTCTCTATCTTTATCAAAAGACTTAATCTTTATCTATGCAAAAATAATCTCGACCTAATCTTTATCTACTTTTTTAGATTTAAAGCCAGTTTCTACGCAACAAAAGCAACTTTTTAAGATTCTTGCAGCGAAGGAGTGTTTTTTTTTTCATGTTCTAATGACTTTTCTCAACAAGCAAAATCAACGGTTGCACCAGTCAAGGTTTATAAAACATTGGCAAATGAGAGTGCCGATAAAATAAATGCCAACTTACGCATAATTGTTAATAGCCCTGTTACGAGAGACTCTGAATTTTATCTCGGTTTATCTTCTGTATCTTATAAGGTGCATTTACCTACAAATTTACTGGATGAAAAAATTAAATATGTTTTATTGTGTATTCTTTGGAAAAAATCTTTCTTTCGAGTCTCCTCGAAGACCCGTCACACTATTGTTGTCTTGCTGAAACACTAATTTTTAGATGCTCGAACTGTTTTAAAGAAAGTTCATTTTAAACTAGTTCATATGTTAATTTATAACATTCAAAATATATAAAACCATTTGATATTAATGTTTGCTCTGATAATTCCAGTTTAACTGTTGGTCATGCTGGTTTTAAAAGGTTTTGATATGGATTTATCATCTGCTATAAATGCTTCACCATACAAAAAAAAAAAATTTAAATATCTCTATTCTAAATTAAAGATAGAGCAGAGAATATAATAAAACAAGCGCGACAGCTTTTACTAAATATTACACAACTTATAGATCCTGAAAAAATTGAGCTAATAAATATTGGTAGAGTGATTGCTCGAGTTGCTGATACAGTTAATTGAAAATGGCGATATTGTAGACATACCATAAAAATTGTTTTTTTTTGTTTTGTTTTTTTGTCTTTCTAACTTATAAAAAAAAAAAAGTCCTTGACGATATTGCCAAAATTTTAGTATGCCATAACCGATCACAGTATGATGCCAATAAACAATTTACAAATTCCACATCTTTTAAAGCCTTTTTTACAAATCTTATAAACAATCGATCTTTGAATTGCCTTACACAAAATCATAATGAACCTGCGAATGGAGTTCCTTGGTCTTATAAAAATAAATAAATATAAATAAATATCTTAATATATTTTATTATTATTATTAAACTTTGTGGACAAATAAAAGTTAAAAAGCTGAAGAAATTGTGCA